TTTATAACTCTTCTGACGCCTATTTTGAAGCATTTGGCGATGAAAATAAAATAAATTTTCAAAAGCCATAATTCTCTCTCTCTCTCTCTCTCTCTCTCCACTGTCTTTACTGTGTGTAGTCTTCTCTATACATATATCTCTTACCGATCGATATCTTGTGCTATCATTTCAATTGATTTATTGCTCTCCAATCACTTTAAACACTTACACAAAATCCTTATTTGATCCGACAGTTAAGCCAGTGATAGAGCCGTTCGCTTTCCCGACGTCCCTAAGAGAGGGTCAAAGAGCGTCCATCTTATGCACGGTTAGCAGCGGAGGTAAGACTCAATCAAACTGACCATTAGATAACCGATCCATACATTGCATTATAAACGCATAGACTTGTGATTACTTTTTTCACGAGTCGTTAATGAATGGCAAGTTTTTTGCCCAAAAAAGTAACTTATAATGCATTTGTCGGTCTGTTATGTGCCCACAAAAAAGCAATTACTGATAATGTATTTGTCTGTGTTCTGTGTGACCGCCAATTGTGTGGCCATTATCTGCCATTTGGTTCTTCTTGTGGTCACATCCCAGATATGCCGATCACTCTTCAGTGGTTCAAAGACAATGTGCCGATTAGTGAACATAAAGGTGTTAGGGTTAATGAAGTGGCCGATTACTCATCTACCCTGTTGTTCGAGTCGTTAACCCTCGACCATAAGGGCAACTATACGTGCATCGCCGCCAACACTGCCGGCACCGTAAGCCACACCACATCTATGATCATTCACGGTATGTGCCATTAATATACACTCACATCCAGACATCACATCCATTCCCAACTCTCTATCTAAACACCACTACAACTAACAACACATACAGACAGACACACCATATCTCTGATCGCAAATACACACAAAAAAATATACACAATTGTATTGAGGACTCAAAGCATTAATATATTTCACCACAGAATAAGTGTGTGTTTTTTCCGTCTGTCAAACCTAAAAGAGTTTGTGTTGTATTTTGCCATTCAATCCAATACTCCTTTATCATCTGTCTATTTCATCAAGCTCTCTCTCTCTCTCTCTCTCTCTCTCTCTCTCTCGCTCTCCATTCAGACATAACTGTATTTATTATATCGATAATTGCCTACTCTTTCGCTCATTTATTATCGTAGATATATTTCTTTTCATATATCATAATATTTTATTTGAATAATATTCGCAATTCTTAACGATTCTTATGTAATATAAACACAATATTTATCTTATATTTTATTTTTATTACACGTTTTAAATTAATTAGAAGTTTGTCACGAGAAGTGATTTCATAAAAGATTATATTTATATATATCGTTAATTAACCGAAAGGGAAAATAATTAATTAAAACAAACACTTTATCACTAAAGGCGAGAGTATTCTTAGATATCATTATTTATTATGCATTTATATATTGTTTGCGAACAGAATATTCTTGAGAGCAAAGAAAGCACAGAATATATGAGATGAGTGGCGAATGTTATCGCCGTTATTAGCATTAGATTTCCATAAATTTTCAATATTTCTGATAGCTTTGGGCCGTTTGTGACAAACTTATGATATGAACCTTTCGGTTGACATCTTCATCCATATATCACTCGCTCTTTCATTCACTATATATAACACATGATATACACTATTCACATGCCTTTTCCCCTCTACCAGTGCCTCCCCGATGGACAGTAGAGCCCAGCGATACATCAGTGGTGAGGGGGCGAAGTATCACGATCGATTGCGCCACACAGGGCTATCCATACCCCCGCATCATTTGGACCAAATCGTCTTCGAGTTGAGTTATAATTTCATAATATTTTATTTAATAAATTACAGGCATTTCCTTATTTCGTCAGAAGTGGTCGTAATTTTGATTAATTTAATGAAATAAATTGCTTTTCGCTCTCCATTTCTCTATATTTACAACTCAATAGACAGTGAATTACTTTCTGTTTCTCTCAGAGACTCAGAGACCGGACTTTCTTGTCGACCACTCTTTCAGTCGTTTTTATAGTAATTTATATGTTATTATGGGATATGAAAACGAAAAATAAAAAATTTTCTTATGAATTATGGCATCTATTCTACTGATTATTAAATAGAAATTTTTATTTATTTTCTTAAATGAATGTAAAACTTGGTTTCAGAATAAATAAATTACATTTATTTAGTTCTTTTCATTCAATGTTTAAGCAAATGAAATGCAAATAGAAATTAATTAAAGAATTTTTGCCAGAAATTCTCAAAAACAACAATAATTAAAGACTTTTAGTTAACAAATTCATTGAATATTCAGTGATTAATTGGTTTTTGAATTTAAAACACTCTATTAATGGGTTTACGCGAAAACGCTTTTGGATCTCAAATAATTAATTGGTATTTAATTGCAATTTTTTGTTCATTTCTCGCTTCAATCAGACATAACGCCAAAGGATTTCAAACCTATCATTAGTGGACCACATCTTCAAGTGTACGAAAACGGCTCCCTTTCTATACAGGAGGCCAGGGATACAGACCAGGGATACTATCTCTGTCAGGCACAGAATGGCATTGGACAGGGATTAAGCAAAGTCGTCAAGATTAGTGTACATGGTAAGCCCATTGACCATCCTGTTTCAATAACAAAATCGTTATAAATTGCTAAAAAAATATATTTTTATAACTCTTCTGACGCCTATTTTGAAGCATTTGGCGATGAAAATAAAATAAATTTTCAAAAGCCATAATTCTCTCTCTCTCTCTCTCTCTCTCTTTCTCGCTCTCTCTCATCAATCGTCGCCTATATATCTATGTGTGTATTTCACTCAATCAAAGGACGGACTCGTTATTAGTTATGTGAACGTAAGCGAAGTGCGCGTAGAGGACGGCGGCGGATATGCGTGCAAAGCGGACAACGGTGTCGCCAGTATTGAACATTTCGCCAAAATTAATGTTTTGGGACCACCAGTGGTGAGACCGATGAGGAATATAACAGTCGTGGCGAGTGAGCCATTAATTGTCAGGTGTCCTGTCGGGGGCTATCCGTTGGAAAGCATTACTTGGGAAAGAGGTAATCGATTTGTGTGTTTGTGTCGACAAAACCCATACCATAGCATGCATTCTGTGATGCATTTTCTTGTGTCTCAATTCAATGAACTTTTGTCAACAAAACCTCGGATTATATTTCACTTTTCAGAAGACGTTTTTTTCTTATTCTTTCCATTTTATACCAATCGAGAGAATACTGGATATGTTTTTAAGTTTTTAATGTATTTTTTTGTGTTGGTTTTGTTTCTTTCACTGTCTCTCCGATAGGAAATACAATACAATAAGTTTTTCGTTGAAAACTTGAAGCAAAAAGTAGTGGAAAAAAGATATCTTATATTAATGAAAAGGAAAATGTCTTTTTTAGGTTTTGCTTTTTTGTTTTTTTCTGTTAGTTTGTCTCTCATTTATTTATCGATCACTTAAACGGTTAACTGAGGCTTAAGACTATCGCAACAAATATATAACTTAGACTTAAAATTGAGACAAAAAATCCTTAAAATGATTTATAAATGAAAACACAGAAAGAATGAGAGAAAATGGTTAAACTCCGGAATACTATAGCTATACAAATGGCACTACAAATGAGTACTGAAAAAAACCTACAATAAAATATATTAAACACTTAAATAAATATCAAACTAGTATTAAAGGATCAGTCGGTTTGGGGTTTAAAACGGCGTTTCGAGACAAATGAACAAACAGTTTATATGTCTTCGTCTCTCAAAATAAAACACATCTCTAATGATATACTTTTTATTCATTTATTTATTTCTACACACGATATATGCGAATATCAGGCGGACATCGACTACCGTATAATCACCGGCAGAAAGTGCACGACAACGGGACTCTTGAGGTGTACCACATCGAGAGGGCCACCGATGAAGGCCTCTACACCTGCATAGCTAAGAATAAGAAAGGCCAGAGCGCTCAGAGCACTGTTGTTGTCCGCGTTCACAGTAAGTATATTTTCATTTACCATCATTTGAATTGTTTTTTATATACAATTAAATATTATATATGATATTTTCATTTCTCATTTTCTGTCTCTTATTCTTCGTCTATCAATCGGTTTCGCCTTTTCTTTTCACTAATCCTTTTACTTTCGATTTCATGAGTTTTGTGTCCATTTCCTTTGCACAATCTCTCTCTCTCTCTCTCTCTCTCTCTCTCTCTCTTAGGGACGTCGGGAAAGCGAACGGCTCTATCACTGGCTTAACTGTCGGATCAAATAAGGATTTTGTGTAA